ACCAACCACACGAGTTTTGTTTGAATGTTGTTGTCACTAGCTCATCCTACGTCACCAACCACACGAGTTTTGTTTGAATGTTGTTGTCACATTCCATCACGAGATTGTTCAAAAGGATCATAATAGAGGGGAGGGGGGAGGGGAGCTGTTCAAGCGTGTGAAGTAAATAAATAGTTTGCCTTCGCTTTGTTTCATCTGCTGAAGAAGGCGTTTGGCCGAAACATTCTTTTAATCTCTCTCTCTCTCTCTCTCTCTCTCTCACACTCTCTCACTCTCTCTCTCTCTCACTCTCTCTCTTTACATTTTTCATGCCTAACAATATCTTGTTCCACTTGTTATTGAAATCATTCATTTTTTTTAACGTCATGATGCTGACTATACTTGAAAACTGTGTCGACCAGATGTTTGCACATTCCCGGAATTGCAAGTCTGATCAGTGTGGTGAAATCGCTCCTCTCATCAAAAAAAAAAAAAAAAAAAAAGGAAAGAAAGAAAATTAATTTCAAAACTAGTAATGATGAGAGGCGTACCTAGGGTGTTGTGGCAAGACATCCAACGTGCCACGGGGTGGGTGCCACTTGGATACATTTTTTTTTTTTAGGGGAGGGGGCATGAAATCGTGGAGACGGATAAATAATTTTAAATTTTATTATATTGGACCATTTAAGAATATGAGAATATTTATTTTGTTATTATTATTATTATTTTTGGCATCCATCCGTCACAATATGACGACGGTGTAGACTTCGCAGGACGAAATCACCAGGCCTGGACAGCGAATCGCCTCTCTCCACGCCGCTGGATAACCCCATGGGGAACATCGTTGTGTGGACGACACAGCCTGGCACCAGAGGCGTCGCAGGAGTTTTTGTGTCAGCTGTTCAAAAACAACCAGAGGAGTTCAACATGAAGGGATTAGATGATTGTCTCATGTCGAAAAGGTTGATAAGTGTTCTTTATGGTTGATACAAATAAATACAATTGTTTGCACCACCACCACCAACAACAACAACAAAAGAGAGAGAGAGATAGGGAGGGAGAGAGAGAGAGAGAGAGGAGATAGAGAGAGGGAGGGAGGGAGGGAGAAATAAAAGTTAACTGGTGTCGTCCAGGTCAAATGATACTTAATGAAAACGAGGCCAGGTCATACTTTATGATTCACTCCCGTTGTTACAAACACTTGCCACCCCAACTGTTTGTGAGTCTATCTCTCTCTCTCTCTCTCTCTCTCTCTCTCTCTCTCCATTTAAAAATAATAATTCTATCCTAGTCTCATGTGTGACGAGCCTTCCATGCTTACAGCCGTATGCTACATGACCTAAGCCTATTGACTTGTATTTATTTCGATCTATAGCTGCTCCAAGCTGTTTGAAATGCCCATAAGGTCACAAATTAAAGCCAGACATATTCTTGTAACATAAAACACAAAGCAACATACTATGCGCGTTCTTGTAACATAACGTCAGATGGCGTCAGTTGGTCGTCGAGTGCGAGCTCTTTATACCCCCCCCCCAACGGCACACCTTCACACGGTCCAGACGCCGGGTCTCCCCGCCGCACAGATTTTGTGCCTCACTCACTTATATATGGTGTACATATTAGGTGCCTCACTCACTTATATATGGTGTACATATTAGGTGCCTCACTCACTTATATTTCGTGTACAGATTTTGTGCCTCACTCACTTATATATGGTGTACATATTAGGTGCCTCACTCACTTATATTTCGTGTACAGATTTTGTGCCTCACTCACTTATATATGGTGTACATATTAGATGCCTCACTCACTTATATTTCGTGTACAGATTTTGTGCCTCACTCACTTATATATGGTGTACATATTAGGTGCCTCACTCACTTATATTTGGTGTACAGATTTTGTGCCTCACTCACTTATAAATGGTGTACATATTAGGTGCCTCACTCACTCTTTGGTTAAAATGAGATGTGTAGCGGGTTGCTAAGGACGCTGATTTTATTAAGAAAGGAAAGGTGCGCAACCGAAAAAGTTAAAGAGGAATATTGAGGATTGTTGAGTGCTTTCCCTTGAACAAGTTATGAATA